GGGAGAGAAGGAAGAAAAGAGAGGGAGAGAAAAGGAGAAAGAATGAGAGAATTAGAAGTTGCTCCTGCACTCGTACATTATAGATAGGGATCCCTGTCATTCCAAGTTGATATAATGCTCTTTGACCACATGTACTATCACCTGTTAAATAAATATAAATAATAATTGCAAAATAAATATCATAATATTAGTAAAATAGTATTATAATCATAATAATATTTTTTTTAAATTAAGTTGCCAGAAAGGAAATAATTTCATCAAAATTGACTTAAAGTGTCGACTTGGAAATGATGCCTAAGAATATGTACATGTATCAGAAAAAATATGACAAAAATTAGGGATGCTTTCTGAGCCATTTAAAATTAGCATTTGATCCAAAAATTAGATCAGGCACCCAAAACTAAAATTTTCTGATATGATAAATAATAGTTATTTAATAATTGATTTGAACCACATTCAGCAAGCTAACATGTAATGTACATTACTTAAGCACTGACCGTATGCATATCCAACAACAGCTTGCTCTATGTCAGTATAAGCCACTCCAGCATCTTGCAATGCTTTAGTTCCTACAAATTACACACAACTAATGATTTTATAGTAAAAATGAAACTACTGACCTGCTTCTTTGGCCATGTCTGGATAATCAAAGTCATCTCTCCGTCCAGGCTTCTCAAACTATAAAGAGGAGGCATATCAGTAACTGCAAAGCCTGCTCTTTTGTCCCTTACCTTAGTCATTCCGACTCCAACAACGTAAACTTTTCTCTTGCCCTGAGTAGCCATTTTCAACCTCAGCAACTTTAAATTAATTAGTTATAGGCGTGGCTCAAACAGAAATTTTTATTGGGGGCCCTCCTCGGGGGATTTTTTGGAAAGGGGTCTGGCAAATACCAGCCCCACCCATTCTAGTTATGCAACCTTACGGTATTAAATGCCAAAAGGTAGAAGAAAAGCATAAAAGAAGGTCCTTTTCTCTTCGTTAGACTTATAGCCGGAGTCTAAAGCAGCATGGAGACTCTACAAGGCTCCTACGATGGCGGAGGGAGTGGGTTTTTCTTCCCTCCGGCCGGCTCTCCTCGCTCAGCAATGTCCCGACACCAATACCCAGCGCCAGAGAAAGGTCACTTGCCTTCTCAGCCTCCTACCGTCCTCCATTGGTTCCGACTGGACTCCCTTCGCCTCAGCGACAATCCTGCCTTCCATCATGCCGTATCTTCCGGCAAGAGACTCAAAGCGGTCGTTATTCTTGATCCCTGGTTCAACAGCAATAACAAGAGCGGGCCTTCTGCCAACGTCTGGCGATTCTTGTTAGAGTCATTACACGATTTAGACAGTCGCCTACAGAAAAGACCATACAACACAAGGCTCAATATCTACCTGGGGCAACCCACCGTAGTTTTGTCTGCTTTATTTCACAAGTGGAATGTGTCTGAGCTAACCTTTCAAGCTTCCCAGACAAGCCTTGAGTCAAAGAAACATGACGAGCTCATAAAATTTGCTGCCGACAGTCAAAACGTGAAAACGACCTCGTTCTACTCCCACACTCTCTACAACCCTGAGGACATCCTTCGTGCCAACAATGGCCGGTTCCCTCATTCCTATAAAGAGCTCCGTCGTCTCCTCCCGCTAGTCGGGCGTCCACGAGAACCTTTTCCTGAACCAGATCCAGTCCTTGTCCTCTTGCGACAAAACTCACCGGAAGACCAAGACCTGGAGGAGCCTGAGAACCGTATCCCATCACTTCAGGATCTTGGGTTTGGACTAGAAGAGACGCTTTACACCAATTCGTGGGTTGGAGGAGAAACCGAGGGACTTAGTCGCCTCTCGAATTTCTGTAGTCGTCGTTCGACGCAGCCAAACGAACCAATCACTTGGTTAATCAGTAAAGACTCTCTCGGGCCTTACATTAGGTTTGGCTGTCTCTCGGTCCGTCAGTTATTCAGTCAGCTCCGTCAGTATGCATCCACATCAAGCAAAGGCCAGGTCCTGTTTGCAGAACTCACTAAGAATCTCTTAATGCGAGAGTTTGCGTACATGGTCGGACTGACGGTTCCCAAGTTCGACACGATGAAGGATAACCCTCTCTGTATTCAGCTCCCGTGGGAAGAGAACGAGCGATTCTTCTACGCCTGGAAGGAGGGGCGAACAGGGTATCCATGGATCGATGCAGCAATGCGTCAAATCGTCCGTGATGGCTGGTCGCATTACTCCACTCGTCAGAGCATTGCCGTGTTCCTCACCCGGGGGTACCTCTGGATCAGCTGGGAGAAAGGGCTCGAGTTCTTTCAAGAACACATGCTTGATTTCGAGCTACCGGTCTCTACAGTCTGCTGGATGCAGAGCTCTTGTTCCGGATTTTTTGTAGACTTTATTGAGAGCTACGACCCGTGTTACATTGGAAAGCAGATGGATTCCGACGGTCACTTCATAAAACTCTATGTCCCCGAGCTTCAGGATTTCCCTTCTGATTACATCCACACTCCTTGGCTTGCCCCTCTCCATGTCCAGCAGCAAGCAAACTGCATCATTGGGAAGGATTACCCTAAACCGCTTGTTGATCTCTGCTCGCAGGGCGAATTGTGCTGTCAGCGCGTGAGGTCCATCTTGACTGCGTTAAGGGAGTTATACGGTGATAATCCATAACCATTCTTATTGCTCTGACACTCTACACTCATTCTTGGATACTGTCAATGTTCTATGTCTGCTACACATTCCTCCTCCTCCTTCTCAAGTATTAGCTTGCCCTTTTAACTTTATTGTAGATGTACTAGCAGTGCATGTATCTCTATGCAGTATTCCTCGTGTAACGTGAAATGTACTTCAATTTAATAATAATCAATATTTTCAATTAATGTTACACTATGTTGTTCCCCCTTTCTCTCTATGCAATGTATGTGTATGTGTTAATGAAAATGACCATCATTGTAATTTTATGCTGCAGTCCTTAAGTGTATAATTTTATTGTTTTTTCTGGTCTTTTTGTTAATAATTTATTGAGTCTTTTTAAAAATAATTATTAATTTGTTAATAATATAAAAATATCAGTAGTAGTAGGGAAAATTGGGAGTAATGACAATGTAATTAAAGGAGAGAAAGTTTAGATTATAAACTTTAAAAATACATAATAATTATTACTTGAAATAATAAATAGTACAATCACAAAACAGACAATATTATACGTCGAAATACATCAAACACATACCAACAGAATGTCCTAATCCTTTAAAGGATATCAACTACATGTACACACGTACAATACATTACTATAGGCGACATGTATTATCGTGTATTGCATTTTATATGAATGAAATGAATACACATCATGATCATGATCATAAGAAGAGGGAGTTATTGATACAAAACTAAAATTAATATAAAAACAAGCAACAGAAATTAAATACAAATTAAGACCTGGAGTTACACGTAATCCCATTCCCACTTGTAAAAATATGTACATGTATACATTTTTGACAAAGTCTTCTTTCATAATTTTGACGATTCTGTGTTGCTCTCTTCAATTATGATCTGTGATTGTTTCCTCTCTCTTCCTCCTCCATTGTTATCATTATTACCAGAGGAGGTGGGGGAGGTGGGAACGGACTCATCCAAAGATGCTAGTTGCTTACGAGAGTGACGAGCGACTATTCCCACGCCCACGCAATCACCAAATACAT